CACACACACACACACACACACACACACACACAGGAATGTCTAAAATTTCTCATAGGCTTACAAAGACACATATTTTATCATTTGGGAGTCTTGGGTGTCCTGGTATCAAACACCATTTATCATCTTTCATTGGTATGTAAAGTATTTCTGTATCCTGGCAATACGCAGATAGTGCTACTGTTTATCCCCACATGGAGAAAAAGATAAACTCTGACAGCATCGAGTGTGGATTCGTCTTCAGGATTTATAAAAAAGTCTCTCACCAGCATGGTTCACACTCCTCCCTCCTCGACTCTCCTCCTGCAGGATCTGCTCATGCTGTTGGACCTGATCGGAGCTCCCAGCCCTCACTTTGGCAACCAGTTCCCCAGCACAACGCCCTGGCTCACCAGACTGCAGAACATTGGTGAATGATCTAACATTTAACTATTGCTGCAGCACCATGAAGATGTGCCAGACAAACTCCGTAAATCAGCCATGAGTCATTGTAATTACTAGTTATGAATCACCAGTTATATTACAGACAGCTGTCAGTGTGCGGAGGCCAACTGGGCTGACAGTTTAAAGTGTGGGAATTAGCCTGTAGCTTTTCCCATCCTCTCTGACTGCGCTATTAGTTTAAATGCTAATGGGGCATTAAAGGCCCTGACAGCTTCTTTCTAGATTCAAATGGTTGCCAAAATCTGAACTTTTTTATTTAAACTTGACAGATTTCTTGATTTATCTTTTATCATTTCTGTAGTTCTCATTGGTTTGAGGCGGGTAATGTCACATATTATGTTGACTAGAATCCAGCTGATTTACAGGGTGTCCAATAAATATCGGACAATACGAGCCTTATATCGTATATATCATATTGTATGAGTTTGCAGATTGTGCATTTTACAGAATGAACAATGCAGAATAGATGTGGATTTATATTTACACTTTTTACACTTCAAGTTCTATATTTGGTTTGGTATTTGTGTCCAATTTTTTATCATAAGTATTAAGTTTATGGTTAAATCGTAAAATATCAAGACTCAATTACATTTCTTTTTCACAAGCGTTTGATAACTATCTCAGGGATACCAATTTTATATAAATATATCAGCTCATATATCAGATCAGAATTTAGTCTTCAATTAAAATGTGTCGACTTTTTAGGGCTTGGATATATTTCCAAACTGCTCAAACCAAACCAATAGCATTCTGATGAAATTATCTAATCCGTTTTATTAAAGCAGACCTATGTTTTTTTCATGAAACTAAACTTACAGATACACATTTTCACTATCTGCCTCCTGTACTCTCAGAAAAGCGTCTCCAGTCCATGAACCAGCTGGTGGATCATCCTAACAGCGAGCAATATTTCTGGCCTGACCGACCAGTCGGCCATATACAAGACGATCATGTCCCATTCCTGAAAAGAGGTACACACATCCATTAAAGGTTCAGTGTGTAAGATTTAAGTGAAAGGGATTTTTGGCAGAAATTGAACAATGAATAATCCTAGTGATGTTTTCACTGGTGTGTTTCATCTAAATTGTATGAATTGTTGTTTTCTTTACCACAGAATGGCAACTTTATATTTAAAAACGTTATATTTACATGGAGGGGGATCCTCTCTGTGGAGGCCGCCATGTTTTTAACTGTCGTCCAAACTAAAACCTTTTGAGTTTTTATGACAGGGGTATTCAGCTGCAACCTGCAACTTCACCTCTAGATGTCACTAAATTCCACACACTGAACCTTTAACACAGTCATTTCATATGACGTGTAAAATCTGTGGATTCTCATCCTGTGCTTCTCTTTCAGGTGTACGTGTCCTCCACCTCATCCCCTCACCATTCCCGTCCGTGTGGCACACGTTCGACGACAACGAACAGAACCTGGATCGCTCCACCATTCAGAACCTCAACAAGATCATGCAGGTCTTTGTCCTGGAGTACCTCGACGCCAGACCAGAAGTCCCTTCTGTCACTTCAGTACCATTAGTACATTCAAATCCACAGAATGCTCCATGAAATTGTTTGGCTGCAGAAAAGGTCCTCAGCTCGTATTTTATAGACGTGTCATTAACTTTGAATACCAGTACTCAGCCGCCAACTGCAGAAGAAACACAGAGAATATGTTTATATAAGAACTCCTGTATTGTTTCAAAATCCATGTTAAAGTTTTGTTAGTATATATAAGAAGAGTCTTTTTTTTTATTGGTTTCGTTAGAGACTTAAAGACTTCACAGCTTTAGTCCCCAGCAGTGAGATGAGCACACAGGATCTCCTGTGTTTACCACACTGCTCTCTTTATATCACCCTAAACCCCTCATTTACCCTGTGAGGAGGCTTATTGGAGTCAACGCTTAGGTCTAGGATCAGGCCTGAGGAAAAATAGTTACAAATAAATGATACATTTTACTTAATTTACTGATTTTCCCACTAAACATTTCAAATTATGAAAATATTGCATAGCAAGTGCAAAGATGCTGATGTGTGCTATACGAGAATTGCAATGGGAACACTTGCAGAGCCCGTCGTGCTAAATATACAATAGGTCATTCATTCACGTGAATTCTACATGTGAGAAATACTATGTGGCAATGCACGTGTCACGAGGTGTGTCTCAGCTCCAGGGTATGTGACATCTCCTCTCCTCCAGCAAATCTGCTCAGTGTTTGGATTGTAAACCTGTCAGTGGCAGGAAGTGGGTGTATTTGTATTATCACGACATATTAAGCACTTCATATCCTGTCATCTCCGATAGCGAAGCGGATAACTTCCTGTGCTGATGTTTCACATGCCTGCCTTTGTTTATACGTCTCTGTATTAGCAGCGATCTTCAAGTGGTAGATCCCAGAATAATATACAATGCCAAATCTGGATTTCCTGTATATCGGGGCTGAAAATAAATGTTGATTCAGAATACAAAGCGGATCATGTGGAGTTTTTGATCTTGAAGTCTTTGTTTGAATGTTAGTACACTGGGGGTAAAGACGCTGACCTGCTCTGATGCTTGGTTGTAATGTTAAAGAGAGGTGACCTTTGAGGCAGTGTGAATGTTTTCCTGCTATTTTAACCTCACAGCATTAAGCAAGAATGGCCAGTACAGTTCCTCTCTCTCAGCCTTGAAGCTTGGGCCCTCTCTTCCTCGCAGCAGACCAAACAATCCCTCCATCCCTCAGCCTCACCTCGACAACAACAATCCCATGATTCACTTAATCCTATCAGGGAGGACCTCCCCTGAATTCCACACCACCCAAATCCCCATGAATCCAGCCCCCTCCCATGAGAACTGAACCTGGCTCTGACTCCCCCGTTGGCCGCAGTCAGAAATGTTTATGATGCCTGGTAACAACGCACACCAACATACCACATTTCTCTGTCTTAAAGGAGACTTAACGTATGAAGACATGGGTCAATATGTGCATGCTTCCTTTGACTGGTAGAATAAAGTTAGTCACCTGCTTTGTAGAAGCATTTCATTTCTTTAAATAATCTGTATTTTATTCCGAGCTAACGCCATCTCAAGTCAGAAGAACTTCTCGGAAACTAGGCGAAAACAAATTAACATAATTTTACAATAAGGTCACAGAAGTGGATCCAATAGTTTTAGTAAAAAAAGAAAATCAGATTTCTCTCAGTCAGTGATCTCAGTTATCGCATTCAGTTTATTTTGCATTCATTAAATCTTTACTTCTCAATGAATAAATAAAGAATCCTTTAAATGTTAGCTTCTAATATCAAGTTGGCAAATATATAAAATAAAATAAATAAATAGTATGTCCATCTCTCACCAGTGCCTCACACCAGACTTTTTAGCTGAAACAAAATTTTTTATGATTAATGTGTGCACATTTAAAATGATTCTTTTTTCTTGGCTTGATTGTGCGTTAATTCTGGATAAAAACAGTTAAGTTGAAAATCACATAATAAAGTTCCTTCTTTGTGACTTTTTTCTGTCACAGTCGGAGACAAAAATACTTGTACTTATGATACTTTGATCACAACACAGCCACTCACACAGACACAAATAGAACCAAGAGGAGGTGTAACCAGGGAGATCTTTTTCTAGTCCCTTGTGAATTCTTCGAATGTTTTATAGCTGGAGAAAGTCTACATCTTTGAACTTGGGATTAGTTTCTGATATCTGTTGGGGTTTTTTCATATCTTTATTCAAGAGCATGGTCTTTCAGTTTGAGAGCATGATGTGTTGAATTTATGTTCAGATTGTGTTTTGCTTTTCATCAAAACCCTGTCCTTACACTAAAATAGCCCGTTTGCACTTAAATGTTCTCTGCTTCTGCTGAAAGTGTGTGCTTGCACTCAGATATAGTGTTGCTTTTATGCTGTCTTCTTATTCCAAAAAGTCATAGAGAAAACCAGGGGAAGTCCATATAATAAAGCCGTGGAGGGTGGGAGTGGATAAACAGACCGCACAGGACTCTCTGAAGTAAAGCAAACGTGCCCGCAGCGAGGCAGGGATATCATTCATTTCATTGGTTGACCAATGGTCAACACGACTCCTGGCATTCTATTGGTTTGGAACTTTTGACAGGGTTGTAACATAAAAAATTCCAGAATTTTTTGTGTTACAACCCAAATTCAACCCAATTCCAGGAGAGAAAAAGAAGAAATCTGAGAGCAGACGGTTCACGAGCGCACAGAAAGCAGCCAGAATGCGGAGAGGGGCTGAAGCTGGAGCGCAGGGAATCCATGCGAAGAACAATGTAGCTGAGTGCAAGCACACAGTTTGAGCAGAAGCAGAGCAAATTTAAATGCTAAACAGGGGCTATTTAGTGCAAGGGCAGGGTTTTGATGAAAGGTAATACACAATCTGAACTTAAGTTCAACAAGTCATGCGCTCGAACTGAGAGACCACGCTCTTGAATAAAGATAGGAAAAAACCTCCATAGTCTAAAGCCATGATCCATCTTCTTAAGGTGAATGAGTGCTAGTTGTAGCTAAAGGCTCTATGAGGAGAGACAAAGATGATAGAAGAGTAGTAATAGGCCTGCACTCTATTGTGGCTTCCAGGACTTTTTGCCTGAAAACAAACTGATGCATTGCTCAGGAAGTTTAATAACAGTTGAGGTTTAGTATGCAGCTAAATTACAGTGCAGCACATTCAGCTTCCAGCTGTGCAGCGGGGGAGTCATGGGGAAGGCCCCGGACTCTCCCATGAAAGGTGTGTTTCAGATCGATATTAAAATCAGTGAGCCAGGAAAGGTCATTTAATGTCAGAAACCATTGAAAACCATCACCTCTGTTGAGGACCTCTTAATAAAGACACACAGCTATGAAGGATTTGCAATTTCTTAAAGCCTTGAAGTAAAGAAAGATTTTTTGGTTTTTATCTTGATGACCATTTTGATAGAGATTTTAACAGATGCTATTTTTAACTATGCTTTTTCTTGCAGCTGCTCCAGCACCTGCATATCCCTGGTTGCCAACCTTAATCTGCTTTATGTGACATATATAATATCACACAGTGTTATAATGTAGTGCGAGTTGGGTTTTTTTTGTAAAATACATGTTTTTATTACCACGCCTGCTTCACATATCAGTTTGTCTATTTTTTTTCTTTCATTAGATTTAGATTAAGACAATGGTTTGAGAAGAATTTGGACAAATTGCACCTTTATATTGCATATTCATAGCCTTATATTGTATATAGTATTTCAATTTTAGATCATACTTATAATTTTCCATTTTTGCTGCTACACTTTTGTGTTGCTCTGTCACATTTGAATTCGATAATGTACATCTTATCTTATCTAATCAGTCAGTCAGTTAGTCAGTCAGTCAGTCAGTCAGTCAGTTAGTTAGTTAGTTAGTTAGTTAGTTAGTTAGTTAGTTAATTGTTGTGAAGTGTGTAGCTGTTTGCCCTGACTTGCAAAGAAGCGAGACACCAACAGAGGGCAGTGGTGAGTCACATTGAGTTCACTGGACAGAAGAAAGTGGGAGAAACCAACTCTCCACTGAGCTGCACACTGTTCATTGAACACGCCTCCAGTTTCAAAGAGGGCGGGGAACACACGGAAACTACCTACATCACACGCTGCATTCAGGTGCAGCATGTAAACCCTCGTATTCATGGTTCAGCCTGGTAAATAAACACTATTAGGCGTTTGTGTATTTTTGATCATGATATTTATCACATTTGCATATACTTTTATAAAACCAGTGCAGTGCCTGTTTGTAATGTTATTTTCTCTTGTTCCGTGTCAATGCTCCAGAGCTACTTTAGAATTATTCATTGTCACTGGTGAGACCTCCTCGAACAGTTCTGCAATATACTGTCACTTATTGTTTGTGTGCTGGACATTGTGTGCAGAGCTTTTTACTAACAGTCTATGGTGCAGAGTGAACCTGGAAAACGTTGTGTTCATCCTACCTGGTTTATCTTCAATGAAGATTTTAAACATAGTGTATTTCACTAAATAAAACTGAACTTGCTTTATTTCTGTTCATGTTGGAGGCTTATGTATAAGTTCGATTTCTTTCGTTATCTTCAGAGCATAGGACAAAAATATCCCTTGTACGTTTTAGGGTCTTTTGCAAGAGTTAGGTAGCCAATCACCAGTGGATGTGAGCAGGTGTTAGCGATCACCAGAAGATATTAGGGACATATAGTATCTTCAGTTTGTGTTCCTTAGCATTAAAAGGTGTTTTGGCCTTTGAATCACCAGACACCCTCTTCTAAAGCTGGCCCACCACAGGCTGATAATACCTGCGAGTGTGTCCCTGACACACCAGTTGGTTTCACTGCAAAAAGTCACAACACATACAAATACGGAAATGTTTCCAAGGGACCAAGCTATTGAAGTCTGCTACTCGTCAGTTATGATGGAACTTCATGAAGCATTGAACTACAGCGAGGTTCATCACTGTTTTGGTTTTACATGTATTGTGGAATTTTACAGCTTATGTGTTGTAAAATGTATCTCTCGTCCACCGTACGTTGCTTTTATAAATCAGTCTGTGATTTTTCTATTGCGTGTATTTGCATTGTATTTATTGATTATCTGTTTTTGCCGAGCACTGATTGCTTACTGTACAACAAATTGCCCCTCGGGAGATGATAAACACTCCTTGTACTTTTTCCATAGCTGAGAAAAAAAGCAAAGTTATCTCAACAAAGGTTTCCCGTGTCGTCACTTTGCACGCGGTGGGGATTTCTCCCAGTGTTCCCGGCGGTACGTGAAGGCAGCAGTGATCCCGGGCCGGGCCGTGAGGAGCTGTGGGGGATTTGCGATCCTCCGGTCACATGTGTTCTCAGTCGTGTGGTGGCTGAACACAAACAGAGCAGCAGCCTCCAGCAGTCCTAACGATGTGACAGCTCGGCTTCGTTTCTCTTGAATCTAACTCTCGTCGCCACGTTTGTTTTTTTGTTGTTGTTGTTGTTTTGCCGCTGACGTTGTGTTGGAGAAACCATGGAGCCCATAACCAAGTGGACGCCGAAGCAAGTTGTCGAGTGGATGAGAGGTAAGAAGTGTGGAGCACTTTGTGTGTGTGTGTGTGTTGTGTTCATGTAGTGTAACAAGGCACAGACAGGGGCACAGACAGGGGCTCATCCAGGCTCACTGTCAGTGTCCTTCTCCTCGTCACTCGCTCCTCTCCTCGCTTATCTCCGGCTAGTTTCGTAGAAACTGTGGCAACATTCCTCCTCCTCCACTCAGACTCATAACAATGGCACCGCATCTGCTGCAACTCTCACTGATGTTGAGCAGTTCCCTCTTCTTCAACACCACTGCTCAGCTGTAACCTTTAAATCGAGCTTCCAGGTTGACTTGATAAACGAACATCAGCCGAACACTTCACTGACAAAAGAAACTTAAACAGACACTTCACTGGGAAACATACAAATGAATTGTGTTTCTTCAACTTAAAATGATTCGATTTGCCAGTATGAGTTCACTTTAG